CCAACAAGTTCAATCTCTTTTGTTGTTTTGTTTTTCCCTTTGATTTCAATCTCTAGCGAAATCGTTTTTATGCTTCTGTGATTTAGGGATTTCATAAACTGAAAATTGATTTGATTCTTAGTTATGAGTAATTGATAGGCCTTAAAAAATCATAACCTCTGAATTTGAGCTTTGTTCTGAGTTATGAAATAGCTTGATGTTTATGTTATCTATGCAATGGACTAGGTGTACGATGCATCTATAAAAAGTATCAACTTTGTGGATGGTAATATATGGATGTGAGGATTTGTGAACATATGTGTTGGAATATTTGTGTCGTTGGTAGGTATCATGAGAAGTGTTAGTCCATTGAAAACATATCTATGATAATTCAGAAAGTCTGTCTCAGTGTTATACTCAGATAGTTCCTCTGGATGTTTACTTCTTTTCGACTTCGGATTGCAGAGAAACGAGATCCTGTTTAAATGATGCTGAGGACTTATGATCAAGCAGAGCTGTCTGAGGCTTTCTCTGTGGATTTAAGTTTGGATTCTCATGTTATTTGCTTCTCTTCAACTTCCTTCTTTATATTATCATTGCATGTTCAAATAATGATATGGTATGGATGATTATAATAAAAATAGTTTAAAATTTTGTAAATTTCTGGATTTTGAACATGTGTGGATTCTAATTCGATTTGAAGAAGAAAAAAGAGTCAAAATATAATATGTCCACACAAACTTGACCATAAGACAATGTCCACAAAATGATCTCTTTTTCATCGCATTTCATGGTTTAAAAATATCCATACTGTCATGTACGTATAATGCATAGAGCAAACCCAACCCAAACCACAAATCTCCATGGATCTCTAAAACAGAACAATTAAACATTAAAAAATGAAATCCAAAGAAATTGTCCGACAAAATTAGAGGAATCGTGGCGAGATGGAGAAGACGTAGTACTAGGTCTTTAAACCAGAACCCAACAAAAATTGCAGAACTTAATGCATAGAAGAGAAAAAGATGAGTTCACCATGGCTAAATCAACTCAATTCAAAGTAAATTTTATGCTCAAAATTGACTATTATTCCTCAGATTCATTGGGGCAAGAGTTGGAAGGTGAGATCTCACAGCTCGAATCAACATCTGCTTCGTGAGAGGCAATCGAAGTAGTTCATCCATGGCCAAAACCCAAAAATT